ACGGTCTATGATCGTCAACTTGTAATAATTAGTGGTATAGTGCTGTCAATATTTAATACCATCCACAATTCGAAGAAGTTAAAAATCTTTGAGTTGACTGAATTTTAACGATCTAAACTATCGAACGTGATGCGTACAAGTGAGGAATTACTGATTAGAGTGAAACAGCCATTTAGTGCTTCAGGGGTTCGATGACATCTTTTCATGGTGAACTTTATCATTCAAACAATAATATCTTAGAAAAAAATCAAAATCACTATAGCCAATTACAAATGTGATCTTAATTATATCCAGTGACGGATAAATTATTATAAGAAAATATTCAAAAGTTCTGTTTAATTTTATATTTCTTTAAAATCGAAATTATTACGGCTAAGTTTTTGAAATTTTCATATTAGTCACGCAGAAACGTGTTGTTTAACAGAGTCACTTCCTTGAAAATTCACTACTTACTAAACAGTCATCCCTATTATCTCAGCAGTAAACAGAAGTGTTATCCCGAAAAACAGACTGATATGACCACTGCCGGAAAGATAAATCAGACAGAATGTACTATTATTATTTGTTTCTTATTCAATTTGGATTCTCCCGTTAATTGATTCGATCCAAATGTTTTGCTTCTGTTGACATATCAGCTACTAGTGCGGAAGCTTCAATGATGTCTGAGGATTAACTTGAAGTCACTTGTTGGTTGGTGACTAGCAGTGGATACGCATTTCGTCCTATTTGGGAATCGTCAGCTGGATGTGTCTGCACTCCCCCCAGTGAGTGATGGGGTTCTCACTGAGACTCGAATCCAGCCCCCGTCGCTTCAAACGCCAAATTATCCTAAGAATGTATTAGTATTTAATCTTATAAAACACGTTTATACACCATGAAGCGATTTTTCTAACACATCGATATCAGCCAACAGCAGTGGATGGCTGTTTCGTTCTAGTTTGAAGCTCTTCAGAAGTGCTCAACTAATTATAAATGCGGGACTATTTTTAAGACTAGAATGTCCTGTAGTGGTTTATGGATGGTGTCTTAAGTCTAGAGGCTCACAGTATATATATATATATATATATATATATATATATATATTAGAGTTCTGTCACCTTCCAAGCTTTGTTACTCATTCAGAAAAACTTAGACATACCATCAGACTCAGACCAAAACGTTTAGGACTACCATACACTTAAAATATTCTGATTAGAGAGATCATTTAAAAATTATAGATGTTAATGTTTCTGTATATTGTCTCACGATAATTATTGCCATACTAGTCAATGTTTCACTACCTTAAATTTCAATTTTCACAACCTCAAACGATCATATAAGATAGAAGTACAACTGAGGTAATTATTTGTTGTGATACAAAGTACAATATAAAATGGAGCTAACAATCTAGATTGATATATGTTTATTGAAACTTAGAGACAAATCTTTCAATCTCTAACAAAAGATGCTGCTACCCTTTACTTGTCTATGGTAAATACAGTTCTTCAACACCTTTTTCTCCTACACAACTGAAACTGCTAATTTAATGATTGTTTTATAATCGTATAAGCCTAAAAACAAAGATTCATATATTTGTTTTAATAAACACAACATTTTATAAACGAAGTACGTGATGAAGAACACCGATGAAATATAGATGTGGAAATGAATAACTCGTGTTATGTGGTTCGAGGTAATCGGCAGGAAGGTTTAGTCCTAGGTTTCGCGCCTACTGGCACTCACCGGTAAGGCGTATCTGCAATATCGAAGGAAATGATGTCCCGTCTAAGATTCTAACTCGTCTTACCTAGTGCTGCAATCACTGAGCTATTCCGGCTGCATCTTCACTTGGTGACTACAGGGCAGGGTTGACAGATAGAATTCTAGGCGAGGACGCTGACAAAATGCAGAGTCTTCTGAACATCTTGAGCTGTAATCTACGAATGTTTGGCATGCAATTCGCTCCCGCCAAATGCAAGATGATGTTACAGGATTGGACTACACCGACTCCTAGATTAGAAATAGGAAGTGAAGTGGTAGAGAACGTTGACCGCTTCACTTACTTGGGAAGTACCATCAGCCCCAACGGGTTGGTCTCTGACGAAATCTCAGCACGGATACAGAGGGCTAGTTTCGCATATGCCAGTTTACGCCGTCTCTGGCGTAGACGTGATATCCGGCTGACTATCGGCCAAATGGCGTGTGGACTGCTCAGCAGACCTGGCCATTGAGAGCAGAAGACATGAAAAGATTAGCTGTCTTCGATCATAGGTGTCTGCGCTCTATCTCCCGCGTGAAGTGGTATAATAAGGTGAACAATATTGAGGTTAGGCTTCGAGTGCTAGGTGGGTGGGGGAGGGGAAATCAATCGACGAGGCTGTGAAGCTACATCGACTGAGATGGTTACGAATGTCTAGTCATCGCCTTCCTCGACGGGGAATGTTAGCTGATATAGGGTCAGGCCGGAAAGAAGCTAACGGCGCTCAAACGAAAACATGGCACCAGTCAATGAAATCTACAAGTTAGTCTAGGCCACGTAGGAAGGTGTAGACTTCCTGGTTGGGGTCCTCAGGACAGTAAAAACCAATGGCTGGAAACAATTGGTGACATGGCTCAAAATCGTTCTCAATGGCTGGTGCAGATGCATCCACTCCTTGTGACTTATGATTTCCAATTAAACTGTTTTGTTCTTCGTTATTACTATACCTTTGTCTCACACCTCTGTTTACTGTCTCTAATATGCATTTCTCCTACTTTCTTCTCTTCCTTTGTGTGCTACATGGAGTGTGGCGACTTGAACTGCCGCACATATGTGCAAAGTTCTATGTCGAAAACAGACAGATAGAATTCAATCAAGACTGAGGACGAGACGCATGAAATTGGTTGCTAACTAGTGACACGTTTTGGTTACTTGAAATTTCAATGTAATTAAATGTTTTTTGAACAAGAGCTGAAAACATAAGTTTGTAAAAAACCAGTTAATGAACTTTCCTATTGTCAGAAGTATTTTAAGTCATGCATTCTGTGGCGGGTCATTCTTTTAGTCTCCTCCCTGACAATTCAGTAATAGGAACACAGGACATGAAGAAATACACGTTTAGTATGCTGTAGAACAATTTAACTACTAACAAACACTGAGTAGTATAATTATAGTTGAGAAATATTTTGCGTTTGCATGAGAAATTCAGTGTGTAGTTGTCGAAGCACAAAATCTCAGTCTAATTTTGCCTAAGATACTTAACCTCATTTGACCTAGTCATACAAGTATGGTTGATTATTCAATTTTAACGATTACTTTACAATTTTATGGAGAATTTCCTCTACTTATTCAGGTGCTTTCTATTTTCTCGAAATACTTTTTGAGGCTGAATGAAATCACTCCCATGTTGAAAATTAAACAGAAAACGTCAATCAGATGTCCCATGTATTACCTCCCAGCTGCAGTGAACCTACAAACAGTGGGAAATCAGATGAGATAGTGAATATGTACTGATTGGTCCAGCTGAGAACACAGTATTCTTCCACTTGCATCCATATAAGAATCCCTCGTAGTCACAACGATAAAATATGGCAAGAGCCAGTCAGACGGTGTCATTCGAAGTGTCACAAGGTTTATGAAAAGAGCTCACAAGGTGATAAAACTCACAAATGAATGCCTTAGATGTAATCGGTTGCAGTCATAAAAGCAGTCTACCTGTTTATGATGCCACAGGCCATTGATGTCACATTATTCTAACTCTATTGTTTCAATATCTAATTTCATTTTAGATTGAATAAGCTGGCTGTTATTCTTACTGTCTAGTTTGTCGGCTCATTGTATTCTGAAGTACAATAGCAAGAAATAGATAAATAACATAACTATTCGCTCATAGTTTCCGAACGAAAGTGGTAATACGAATCCTTTTTAGCAAGAAAGGCCCTCTAAGTTAACCTAAGGCACAATAACAGGAAAATGTCCAAAAGTCAATACAATCTACAATTTGATACAGTAGTCAGTACAATCATTTCTCCAAAAAAAACTTCTTTATATATAAATGCGTAAGACGAGTAAGTTAAGTATTAGAGTTCGCTACACCCTAAGTAAGAGGAGAAGAACATATTTTTGCGGATTTTGTCTCTACTATGACGCACTGTTACTGGGTTGCCGTCTAACTTGACTAGAATGCGCCTCCAGATGCGATACTATAACCAACTGACCACTTGAAAATATTCCCCACATTGTGATAGACACATAAATCAGATTCAACCGCGAAAACAGCGATGTTTTACTAGACAAAATGCATAGAATATAAGCCACTAATAAACAAACAAATCTGCTTGGTTGTATAATATCACAAATCCTCAGGAATTGAAGTCAACAAAAAAAGAAGGAAAACGAAGCAAAATCTGTCTAATCAGGTTACCATGTCAACGAATGTATATACCATGACTTCACGGCTAACAAAGAAAACTGCTCTGTTCTAGCAGTCTTGATTAATTCTTCTTTGTTATTATATACACAAAAATCTAGTGACTTGACTGGCTTCTTGGATTCGTTCCGTATTAGTAAACTTACCGCCGGTTAGAGACCACCGTAGGGACGTACAACTGTTGGGCTCGACCTCTTCTAACCCCCTCTCTCCAGAGTGGAGAGACAGAATAGCTGGCATGCTGGTCATCTGAGCGAAACACCCTACTGCTGTTACATCCCTGTTCCCCAGCAGTACTACTTCGCCCGCAGACTCCCAGCATAGTGTAAAAACAAAATTCTTACACTATGTCGGTAACTGCTTTTAGTCTAATCGCTATCCTAACAACCTTCCTGGCATAGTAGGACCTGCAGGAACAATAGTTCCAGCCAGTGTAGCTTGTTGGGTCATTGCGATAAGCAAGCCCGACCACCACGTCAAGGTAGCAGCCATCGGTTAAGTAATTAGCTTAATTATTAAGTATAAAAATAAAGAAAATAGTAGAGTAACAGTTCTATTATTACATCAACTAATAAACAAACGATAGAAATATATACAAATATATACAAGAGTTACACAACAAGAAAGAATAAATTATGCTTATTCTGCATATTCTACTGATGTACTAATTTCATGTGTCGTTTTAAATTACACGATTGACGAAAGTTGGCATTACAAAGTGTACATTGATAGGGTTTTTCACCTGTATGTATTAATTCATGACTAGTTAAACTACAGCTTTGAGTAAATCCAACACCACAAAAACGACATACAAAAGGCTTAATCATATTATGTATTCTTTCATGTCTAAGTAAAGAGGAATTCTTTGTAAATGTTTTATTACAAATTGAACAATTAAATAAACGTTGAAAATTTTTATTAGTTGCGTTCGATTTACACTTTACTGTGGTACTTTTTGTAGTAGGATTACTAGTATTCTCGTGTAGTTCACAAACTTGATTGACAATAATATTAGTATCAGTTGGTGCAATATTAGTAGTAGTAGTAGTAGTAGTGGTACTAGTAACAGTGGTGAGATCATTCACATGAAAATCCACAAGTTGTTTATTCGAGTCGGTGTTCACGCATTCAGGATTAATATTTAAAGTTTCATCCGGAAAAATCTCTCCATACGATACACAATCGAATAGATTGTCATTTGAATAGGTAACAATTGCATTCGTGTTACCAGTGTTGACGTTGCTATCCTCATTAATTGGGAGTATACTGTTTATTAATTCATTGTTAACTGAATAGTACTCATGATTGAATTCACTTACATTGAATGTAGAATTGAATAGATAATCACACTTTTGTTCATCTAGAATATCAAGTGTCTCAGGGAGACCATGCTCTGTGAATGCTTGTTGTTGTTGCTGTTGTTGTTCAGTTGTAACATTATCATTAGCATTATCAATATCAACATAAAACACCGGCGTGTTCTCCACCTGACAAGAAGAATCTTTCAAACAATTGTACGATGATGTGTCAGAGACTTGGTTAGTGGTAGTAAGTTCTCCATTATTACCTGGTGTCTCTTCAGGACAGAGTAGTATATCTAAGTATATTGTGCATTTAGTGCACTGGTCAGAATTGACACCATTACAGATACATTTATTAAAGGAAGAAGAATCAGTCTGATTTACTTTAGAATTAGTTTCCACTAGGGTGATATTTTCATCATTGCGTTGATCGTGGTATGAATTAGGAGGAAAATCTGACGAGAGAACTACATTTGCAGTTGGTTTACGCTTCGCTTGACATTTCACTAAATGACGTTTTCTATGACTAGGATTGTGAAAAACAGAACTGCAATGTGGACAGCCATAGCGTCGAGTCCCGGTGTGCAGGCGAACATGCAGACGTAGGCTACTCTTAGATGAAAATGTAGAACCGCATAAATGGCATACAAGGGCATGTTTCACTGATGCTTTGTTTTTCGATAATACCTTTGTCTTATCTATATTCATTTCGTGTACTTTAAATTTATGCTGACGAAGTTCAGAATATTTCATGAAGCGTCGATGACATTTATCACATTCATATGGTCGAATACCATAATGAACATTGAGATGGTATCGGAGATCTGATTTTTTTGTAAACTTTCGGCTACATATAGTGCAAATATTTCCAGTGACAGGTGAAGTAGGTGGTTGAATATCCTTATTTTCTGGAAAACTGACCATGTTTTCTACACGTTCTCTAGCAGCCTACAAAGAGAAGTGATATACACTGCAACAATCGTAATGATGGCAAGTCGTGAAAATTGTATGGAAAATGAATGTGTCACTTGCGATTTATCATAGTGACATAAAAGTTCCTTTAGCTAGTATAGGTAACATTTCTTTCGACTACAAGAAACTAATTATACCAATAATAGTCGTTTTCACGGTAAATTACAAGTTGGATAAGGATTTTTATGCCACAGAGATATATCGCAAGAAATCTAAAGTACATGAAAATAATGTGTCACGTAGTTTACCTATTAGTACAGAATTTGTGACTATTATTCCATGATAGTTACTTGATGGCAGAAGTTGCGTCATACGGTTATGATTTTCGCAGTATATATATATATATATATATATATATATATACTGAACACTAAGTAGTAGCTAAGTGGTGTAATGAAACTCCTTACCACCAAGGGCTCAATCAAAGTATCTAATACAGCCCAAGAGGAGGTCACTCACGAGCCCGAATAGCTAAGTGGTAACGTGTGTAACTGTAGGAATAGGTGACACAGGACTGAATCTCAGACGGGACATGAGTTCCTTCATGGCTGCAGATACGCCCTGATGACGAGTGCCAAGAAGCACGAAGTCTACGTCCAAGGCTTCCTGCCGATCGCTCTGTCTTCTAACTTATATATATATATATATATAATTATTGAGTGCTAGGTAAGGCGGGGAAATCAATCGACGAAACGGTGAAATTACTTCGACTGAGATGGTTAGGACATGTGCTACGTATGCCTAGTCATCGCCTTCCTCGACGGGCAATGTTAGCTGATATAAGGCCAGGCTGGAAAAGAGCTAGCGGCGGTCAAACGAAAACATGGCACCAATCAATGAAATCCACAACAGTTAATCTAAGCCACGTAGGAATGTGTAGACTTCCTGGTTGGGGTCCTCGGGACGGTAAAAACCAATGGTTGGAAACAATTGGTGACATGGCTCAAAATCGTTCTCAGTGATGGCGCAGATGCATCCACTCCTTGTGACTTATGATTTCCAATTAAACTGTTTTGTTCTCCGTTATTACTATTCCTTTGTCTCACACCTCTGTTTACTGTTTCCATTATGCATTTCTTCTACTTCCTTCTCTTGCTTTGCGTGCTACATAGATTGTGGCGACTTGAACTGCCGCACATATGTGCAAAGTTCTATGTCGAAAACCGACCGACCGATATATAATTATTGTATTTGGTTACCGAGGTCTAAAACTGTCTCATTTAATATTTTAATTAATTAAATCCATACAGAATATCCCTTTGCATAAATATCCAAAAGAGTTATATTTTGCATAGATGTATTCTATTTTTATCATTTAGATCCCAAAATACTCGACTAATCTTCATTTAATCCTTCCCTTCACCACCTCTTTCCCAATATCTATCTTTATAATACCATTATCTGTCTCACTTTGTATGTTTATTCAATGTGTGACAAACCAAACTGGGTTACTTCTATGTTGATTACTCAGTTGCCTTATCGTTTCGGCATATAATAAAACTACTAGGTGCAACAGTAGTCAGTTCTTTTATGCACTATTTATTTATTTAAACGCAGAAAAAACTTGGTACAATATGGAACCAAGAAAGATGCGCCACACTTGTGTGAGGGCTGAGATACTGCCCAGGTGCCCAGACCGAAGCAGGTGGTTTTCTTAAGGGACCACTCCCCGAGCCTTTGACTTGGAGTCTAATCCGCAAGGCAGCGGAGCAGCGTCAGGAGCTGCGTTCCCATGGTTGCCGGTGACCCATATGGGTTCATACGCCATTTGATCCGATTGGATTCTGGAGCCCATGTACCCCATGGTAACTGCTTTTAGTCTAACCACTATCCAAACAACCTTCCTGACATGGTAGGACCTGCAGGGACATGAGTCCCAACCAGTTTAGCTTGTTGGGTCACTGCGGTATTCAAGCCCGACCACCACGGCAAGGTAGCAGTTGTCGGCCGGGCCTTTATGTAGTGAAAACACTATTCTTATATATCTTGCTGTGTTTTAAGCACTGTACTGTTCATGTTTCAAGGAGAACAATTCGGAAAACAGTACTACAGTTGAGCAAATAATGACCATTCAACTTTTGAGGTTACGTGGAGAAATTTATTTCCCAGCAGACTAATACAGAAAAAAAATTAAGTTGAGCTATGTAGACACAAACGGGATCATTATCTAGAAAAACATTGAAACTCACTTTGATTAAATATTTCTCTGACAGTGATAGGTGATCTGATGGTTGTAACTTTGCTATTTCATCAACCAGGTTAGAAGATAAGCTGGATATATGATGGGTATTCTTCTTTGAATTTGATGCATCACCAAGAGTGTCAACATTGCAAATACTGTCTGACTGTTCAGTCGACAACTTAGAAATGCATACATCCACACCGTTTAAAATATTATTTACATGAGATTTAAGACAACGCAGCATCATGAATCGCATGCCACAATTTCCACATTTAAACGGTTCAGAATCAGGTAATGGATGACAGTAGATAATATGTCGACTTAGAGCTGATTGTTTACTAAATACAGACATCGGGCATAGAGGACAGCTTAGTACACCATTATACTCTTGATTATGTGTGCGTGAATGACTCAAAAGCAGAGTTGGATTCGCAAAACTTCGTGGGCATTCACGGCATGAAAAAGATTTTTCTACATTACTGTGACATATACGAGTGTGATGGAGTAAACTTTGTGCAGATTCAAAGATTTTGGGGCATAGTCCACATGCATACAATTTTGAATGCTCTGTATGTGTATTTAATTGAATATCACATGAAGCTTCTTTTTGAGGTGTACGCGATTCATGGTTAGGTAAATATTTTTCAGATACATGAACAGCTTCGTGAACTGGACTGTCGATATCCACCTGGTTGGATCTAGAAGTTACTTGTGTATTTACAGTGTCGTATGCGTTAGGATTTGTTTGATTACTTTTTAATGATTCATTGTTACATATAAACGACTGGGTCTTAAACAAGGGGCCAACATTAGGATTATCATTAGATTCTGAAGGATTAATAGTCTTCTCGGTTAACAAGATGACTTGTTGATAAGTGTTACTTGGACTCTCGATATGCATATCTGCTGAGTTAACGACCTCAGATGAATCGATGACCAATATATCAAGGGGTTGATTCAACTGATCAAATAAGATATTTGAAGTATAATAAGACTGATTTTCGTTTGAAGCACTATCCCATACACACATTCTATGGTCTGGAAAATGAGTTTGATTGCTGGCGCTAATATTAATATTCTGCGAGCTTGATAAAGCAGTCAAGCAACTATCGAGATTACCGGTGGTTATATCAGGAACTGAGTGTGATAAAGAAACAAAGTTATTCTCTGGATTATTTGATGATTCAACATGAACTACTGCTGACAGGTTATCTGATTCCAAGGGGTTCAGTTCTACATTATCGTATGAAGAACACTGTCTAACTGGATTCAGAAAGTCACCTATAATACTAAGCTTTACATGTGAGTCCACATCTATTGTACATGATTTATTTTCAGTGAAACTTTGCAAACCAGAATGCTTAAATTTTGTTGTCAAGTTGACTAAACTAGATTCCGACAATTCAAGAGATTGTCTCCGATTCAAATGAGAAGTGAAATGATTGCGTATATGTCTACGACAAGAATGCAAAAACTGGAATCGCTTATGGCATATATAACAGCTAAATAGTCGCTCACTAGAATGTGTATCTACATGAAGTTTCAACGTAGACAAACTGGAAAATAATTTTTGACATATTGGACAAATATTATTGTTTTTAATGCACCGATGTCGAAAATTTATGTGCTTCTTTAAACCTAAATTGGACATAAATCTACGAGGACACTTAGGACATACAAGTATATTGGACTTCCCATGATGTATCTTGAAGACATGCATTTTTAGGCGATTAATAGATCGAAAAATCTTGAAACAGTGGATGCATCTATTAAATCTATGTAAAATTTTTTCAGAACATGATCTTTTAGATTTGTTACATGACCTTACCGTTACACTGCGTTTAATTTCTTTCCGATGAACATTTCTGTTAGAACGCATTATCGAATGACGTAACATGTGTACTGCTAAGCTCTTAGATAATCGGAAAAGTTTACAGCATACTGGACAACTGAACATTTCAGAGTAGGGAAAATTAACTTCAGGATTCGGATCAGAAACCGGTGAGATAAGATTGCAGCTAATTTGATCAGCCTCATTTTCTCGAGCAATACTTTCTGAGGTTTGAAACTGTGGTATAAATGACTTTAATAGAAGGGAACTTTGAGGGACAGTTGTTCCGACAATGGAATTTGCATTATGGAGTGGAAAAGGCAAAATCTCAATTGCTGAGTTCACAGGACGTGTTATATGTGAGTCCAAAGCCGCTTTACCCGGCGAATTTTCTTCTAATGCACTATCGTTTGGGTACACAGTAAGTGACGGTTCGAAGTCATGTTTTGTAGGTTGTGAATCCAAAGGATTTATATGAAGCGACAAATGTGTTTTCGCCGAAGACTTTTGAGTGAATCTGGCATGGCAAAGTACACATTCGTAAGATTTGTCTTTTGTATGTATTGTCATATGACGTTTAAGTAAAGACGGTTTGGAGAATTTTTTATCACACACTGAACACGAATAAGTAACTTTCCGCTTTTTGTGCTTTGTTGCAGTATCTTTAGGACAGTCTTGAATGATGGGTTCTTCGGCAGGGATTCTGCGGATAAACTGGTCCAATATGGAAAATGAATCCTTGTCCTTACGACGATCACTTTTAATCAGAGATGAAAGATATGTAGCTGCGCGAAGTTTACTTTTCCTGACGTTTTCTAAATCGGTGGCACTTGATGTTTCGAAATTAATTTCTGTGGTTAAGACAGGACTTTCGACGGGTTTCGGTTTATAACCAGGGTGTCTACGACGATAATGTTGTTTAATTTTACCTATAGAAGACAACAGCATTCCACATGCATGACATCTATATTGGGATGGAGGTCTTTTGTTGGTAATGGGGCGTGTACATGTACGTAAGTGCTTTTCATATGATGCGATAAATTCGAAGGACTGATCACAAATAGAGCAAACAAAATTCTCATCAATTTGATGGAGTACTAGGTGTGATTTATAAGCAGCAAAACGAAGGAAATGTTTATCACATAGGCAGCAACTGTATTGACTCTGATTTTCGCTCAATGTGTGATACAGTGAAATATGTACATACAAATTGTCAGCTTGATTAAATGCAGTATCACAATACGAGCATATATAGGGTTTACCAGTGTTATGAATATTTACATGTCTTGACATTTCTTCGTATGAACTGAAAAGAATGTGACATATGGAGCAACGAAAGTCCATATTAGAACCTGGATCTTCATTTGAGATATAGTTTGAGGTATCCACTTGAGTAAATAAATAAGAAGTATTAGGTTGATATACTGAAACCCCATCGCTGCATATATCAGCATGTTTTGAAGTCGATGTAGACAGATTTACGTGATCTAAATCAATCAACTGCATACTTGTATGAGATGTTATTTAACCGCTTCACATAATCGTTCGGAAATATATTCAATAAGGATAGAAACAAAAACCCGAGTCTGTTTCAAAGCAACCTAAGTAAAACAGAAATTATTGAGACATTTATTACTGGGATCAAAATCAAATGGTACTGAAAACAAAATGGTTAACGTAATAATAATAGTTATAGCTTTATTACAAACAGTACTTTTGGTACAAATATGGAATTTTGAGCGTGTAATACAATATTCCATCTAATTGTCTAATTACAGGGGCAATAATTCAAACAGGGCATTTACATTAATAATATTGTCCAATATGAAGTGAATATAAAACTAAATCAGGTGAAAATATTAGCGACAATGTAATAATGAGAACAAAAAACAATGCCGTTTACTTAGAGTTCCTCAATAAGTTGATAACTTCTTGTCTTACACATTTCTCATCATATAAAATGTGTGCTAAATAAAGAACCGTAGAGTCTTTTATACTTAGTCGCTCGAGCATACAGTCTTCTGTAGTTGCTTGCAGTTCTACCCAATGACATGCAGAAAGGAGAGTCGTGTATGGAAATGATGTTGAGTCTGAAAGGATAATATTTGCTAATTTCCCGCAGGAATCCAAGTGTCTATCTACAACAGTACTAATGAGTTGGTTCAGCAACATCCCACTAGGTCTACTGATGGCTTTTAGCGCCCTACGAAGTTTAACAAAGTCTTTCTTAAGTAACCTGGTAAAGATTAAGGGGGAACAGTAAAGAAGTATAGGCAGAATACAAGAATTAACAAAGGGTAACAGTAGAGACGGAATGATACCAGATTGTCTTAACTTCCTTACACAGAATGTCAAACGAAATATCGTTCTGGAAACGAACATGATGAGGGAAAGAGGATCAGGGGAAGTACACAGTCTAAGATATTTAACATTCGATTTGGTTTCAACTTGTACTATGTTAGTGGAACCGTAAGAACTGAGCAGTTCATGTAAGTCGCTCTTGCGTCTGAAAGTGAAATTAACCACCTGACATTTGGAGGGATTAAGCTTAAAACCATTTGACGAGTACCACTGACTAATTTCTGATAATAAGTTATGCATTTTGGAACAGTCTGCCTGGGAAAATACAGGTATAGAAACAGTCAGATCATCGGCATACTTAACAAAATTGGCTTTGTCAGAATGGGGCAAGTCATGTAAGAAGGAAAACAGAAAAGAAAACAGCTTCCCTGAGGAACACCAGCTAGAGTAAGTGAAGCAGTGGAGGACTTCTCATTGTAAACAGTGTACTGCTGCCTATCAGAAAAATAGGGATGCAACCACTTGGTAATCCGGCACTGTGCTTGTGAAGCAGCAAGCTTATTTAACAAAAGAGGCCTAAGTACAGAGTCAAAGGCAGATGTGTAATCTAGGAAGACACACTGAACACATTTGCCACCTCCGTCTAAACGACAGAAAATATTATAATATAAGACGACTGTGGCATCTAAAGTACACCTAATATGTTTATAAGCAAATTGATTAGGGTAGTTACAAACCTTCAATGAAGATTCAAGGTTAAATTAAAGCAGTCTTTCCATTATTTTTAAAAAAATGCGAAGTAATGGCAATAGGTCTGAACTTAACAGTTTGTCCACTTGATGATTTAGGCACAGGAGCAATTTTAATGTCCTTCCAAGAAGCAGGCGCAGTGTTACAGGAAAATAATTCATTGAAAACACTAGTGAGAGGATGACATAAAATGCCAGTAAATTTATTGAGGATGAATGTGCACTCGTGCAACATATGCATGCACCAACACGGTATCACCCGGAACATGATCCATCTACTCTAGACTTGATATTAACACACCAGAAGGAGGACGTTGGTGACATTAGGTGCCTTCCACCGCTTGGCAGCAGTGACCACATAGTCATTGCTTTTACGTTTAAGATTCATTCTCTCATACACAGGTCAAAATCTGCTCGTCCAAATATTTGGAAAGCGGATATACAAGGAATCCGGAACGCAGCAACTTCAGTTGACTGGTCAGTAGATACAAGTCGGACTGTCGAGGAAGCTTGGGTAGGATTTAGAAATACACTAGATTGTGTCACTTCACCTTTTATACCTTGGTACACTCCTCGAAAGCTATCGCACAAGCCACCTTGGATTACTAGTGAAATAAGGAGGCTATTAAGACGGCGAAAGAACTTATGGGACCAATTTATTATGACAGGAAGGGAAAATTTCCAGAAAGACTACCGCAAAATTCGAAATCTCTGTAAGTATGCGATTAACAAGAGTCGTATAGAATATGAGAGACGGCTTGTGCTAGATAGTGTTCACTACCCAAAAAGGCTCTTCTCGTATATTAAACGTAGGACTAAAACTAGCAATGGTATACCGTCACTCATAAGCATTAGTGGAGAAACGGCTGAGTCAGACGAAGGAAAGGCTGAAAACCTCTCTGAATACTTCTGTGACGTCTTCTCGTCTGATAGTACCACCCAGGGATATGGCGAGGTTACTGCCATCGCCACTCAGATGCCCTCAATTGTGGTAGAGCACACAAAAGTCCTCAAACTACTGTCTAAACTGAAACCAGGTAAATCACCTGGGCCTGATGGACTTCACCCTAAATTATTAATTTCCTTGGCGGATATAATATATATTCCACTAGCGGAGATTTTCCAAATGTCACTGACCCAGGCTAAGCTACCCAGGGACTGGAAGGATGCCATTATAAGCCCTATATTCAAAGAGGGGGACAGGCAATTGGTATCTAACTACAGGCCGGTAAGTCTAACATGCATTATAGCATAGGTAATGGAAACTATTATAAGGGATCAGCTATTAGCTTATGTTGAAACACATGGCTTACTGGCAGTTGAACAGCATGGATTCCGACCAGGACGATCCTGCTTAACAAACTTACTGTTAGCTAGGGAAGATTGGGTCGAGGCCAGAGATAAAAACCTTCTGTTGAACGTGGTTTTTATTGATCTTAGCAAGGCATTCGACAAAGTATCCCACTTAGGTCTCCTTAGTAAACTTAAAGGTTTCGGACTAGACCAATACCTATGTGAGTAGTTTAGGGATTACCTAATGGATAGAAGGCAGAAGGTTAGAGTTAACGGTGTACTATCAGGGTGGAAAGCAGTATCCAGTGGAGTGCCCCAGGGAACTGTATTAGGCCCCTTGCTATTCCTATTATACGTTAATGAGCTACCAGGGATTCTTACTTCATCTTCATTGTTATTTGCAGACGACATTAAGATATGGAAAACTGTAAACAATAGCGAGGATAGGTCGGCCCTACAAACTGATCTAGATAAATTAGCTGAGTGGTCGAACCTGTGGAGTTTGGAAATGAATTCTAGGAAAAGCGCAGTAATGCACTTAGGTCAGAAGTCTTATACGTCGTACTCCCTAGGGGACACAGAACTACCTGATGTTAACGAACAGAAGGACCTAGGAATCATTGTTAGCAATGATTTGAAAACAACTGCAAACTGCAATGCAGCCGCAGCTAAGGCTTTTCGAATGCTATGGGCACTCCGTAGGGCTTTCAAACGATTAGATGAGGGCATGTTCCAAATACTCTACGCAACCTATGTCAGGCCTCATCTAGAATACTGCGTACAAGCGGCGGGTCCATGCTTCAAAAAGGAGGCATATATCCTGGAAAGAGTACAGAGAGTAGGAACGAAACTAGTTAGTGGTATCTCACACCTTCCTTATGATAAGAGGATGGAGCATCTAAATCTCTTTCCGTTATCATACCGAAGGAAGAGAGGCGACCTAATTTTGGCTTACCGTATACTTAAGGGTGATTTAGGAACTGACCTTTCTAAACTCTCCTTCTAGGATACATTTACGGGGTCACTGCAAAAAGGTGCTCAAACCGAGGACGATTAAAATACGTGCAGAATTTAGATTCTCTCATAGAGTGGCCAACGACTGGAACTCCTTACCTGATTCAGTAGTAACAGCTCCATCGGTGAACGCTTTCAAAGAGAAGTTAGATCTCTGCAGAGATATATTTTGCAAGGATTAACACAGGCCACAAGAGCCTTCTATCCTTATCAACTGAATCTGAATCTGGATAGTATCTGGCACATCATCAGGATCAATCGACTGGATAGGTTCCAGGGATTCGAGACAACTGAAAACATCGTCTGAGCTAAAACCAAAGAAGCGGACATTTTCTGCGATCATAAAAGTTGTCAACAGGTGCTGGACTAATTTGGACCATGCGGAAATAAAAAATAATACCTGGAGCTGAAACTGCCCCAGTCGGAAAAAAGTGGGCAAAGAATAGTTAATATGGGTAGATTTTGGGCACGTGGTAGGAATGATAATATTATGGACAATTCCGGGTTAAATTGTGGTTGAAATGGAAATATATTGCTTATATAATGGTTGAAATGAAGAAATAGTGGTTAAATATTGGGAAATACTGGTTGCGTTTCGGATGTATTGAATCATAGAAAAACACTGGTCCAAAAATGATGAAATATTGGATGAATCTTAGTCAAAACAGGAAAAACGATGTCAGTATGGCCAAACTTCGCCCATTTTCTAATACTATTGGCCATTAGGCCATATGAGTACATACTCATTACTCACCTCTCTTCTACCATTTTTGTCCAACAGGAGCTGAAATGATGCTAGGAAATTGTTAATAGTTGCCGAACTGATATAGCTAATGCTGTGCTGGAAATCATACTACTTATGCATCTTTTCAGTATTTACCCAACACAATTTACTAGCATTGTTTCCCCTTTATGGTTGGTATAGGTAAATAAGTCACTTACTCTTAAACTCGCAAAGGATCATCCAAGACTTATTTTAAGTAATTCTTTTAAAAACGGTTTTGATCATTACCCGATTCTACAGGAAAGGTAGTAAAAACCATGCCTGAAATCTCTCAGGTGACCTTGACATTATAACCAGCGGGTTATATTTCCTAGTTCAGTATTTAAAAGTGACTTCGGACAATGCTTAGAAGTTTTCTTCACTGCCACAATTCATTTAAGGTTAGTTTCCAAGCGTAAACTAGCGACTGTCAATCTGATTAGTTCACTTACTGCCGAAAGACAGTTAGGTTTCAGATATACTGATTAAGGATCGGAGGCTGGAAGCCTATGTTAATATTTTTCCAATAAGTTCCTATGCTTTTCTGAACCTGTCTTCAATCAGTCAACTGAAGGCGGTGACATCACTTCTTCTGGAAGTCAGTTCCAAGAGTTTATGACATTTTGTGAGAACCAGTCCTCCACAGAGATACAGTTCCTCATTGGCATTTGAACTCTTCTACTATGTCTCCTGAGGTATCTTGATCTGACGGGAAGGAAAATAGAAAGTAGGTGAGGTCGGTATTTATCATTTATAATTTTAAACAATGTAATGAGGTCACTGTGCCTACGGTGTGGCAAAGAGGCTGGAACTATTGGGTCTTTCACCGTATGATAAATTAGTCATACTTGTTGCCTTCCTTTGAACCCTTTCTAGAAAGTGTCCCCTTTACGGAAAGGACTGGCTCCCTAGGTAGTTTTCCCATATTGACCTCATCAGAGATGTATACAAAGAGGGGAACATATCTCTAGTGACTCTAATAAGCGCTCTGCGTATTGCCTATAATGGTCTGAAACTACGAGCTGCCACCGTGATACATCTTTTAAGTTTTTAAGTCGTGACTTACTATGACATGTAGATCCATATGGGGCTGAACTGATGGCAGTATTACTCCCTCTAGTTCGTACCGGCTAACGCTTAAGCACTTCGCTGCGTTTTGCGGAAGCATGCATTATTTGTACCAATCTGACAATGTATTGAGATCCTCTTGCAACGTGAGCATGTCATTGTCGCCCTTCAGCTCCCTCCAAATAATCAATTCTTTTGTGTAGGGGATAGAAGGGAGTTTGGCGATCCCAGGTGAATTGGTGACATACATACAAAATAAAAAGGAGGGGCTGGAAAACAGTGCATTATGGCACTCCAATATGTACCTCTCTCCAGCAGAAGAGTTTGGAGTTAATCCTGACTCTCTGCCTCTTGTCTAGGGGGAATTCTCCAGCCAAATTCTGTATGCCACCCTTGATTCCAAGATGTTTCGGTCTCATGAGCAGTCTTGCTTGAGATAATTTGTAGAAAGCTTTGCTGGAGTCTATGAGAACAACGTCGACGGATTTCCTGTTGTCTCTTGACTTACCCCAGGCTTCTTCCGAAGTGAGGAGATTAGTAAGGGATAAGCAGTTGCCCCGGAAGCCGTGCTACGCTCTGGACAACAGGTTATTGTTTCCCAGACATGTCATGATAGCTTTCTTGATGATTCTTTCCAGTATCATTTTCAAGGTGTTAGCAAGCCTGATAGGCCTGTAGTTTGAGGGATGTGTCTTGATCCTCCATTGTGAATGGGGATAAATATAGAGTCTTCAAAGTTACGTGGCGACACTCCATTCAGGAGAAAAAGCTTGGAGATCACAGCTATTAGCCCTGCTGCGTGAGCTGCCAGTTCCTTGAGAAGCAATCATCGGCACAGATATCATTGGCTTTCCTACATCTAGTTTCTTTAGTAGTCGGCGTACAATATCTGGGTCGATGTTGACGAAATCTAGTCCAGACACCGGCCCACTTCAATTTTGTTCAGCAAATCTGTTGAGCAACAGGGTTCTTGAATGGTCCATTATCTTCAGGATGAGATGGAGGCAGCTGCTGATGGAAGGATCCAACAGACCGTTAGAAATGCATTTATTGACATACCGATATTCTGAACCAAACAGAATTGGTGACTCGATACTAGTTTTGAAGTTCCGGTCCCTTTCCTTTATTCTGTGTGCGGAAGATTTCAACAGCGATTTCAGAGTAACGAATTAATGGTCTACTTTTCTAATCCTGCCCCTGACATCCTCATCCCTGCCACTTATAGTTGAAATGATACTACCCAACTAAATGAAAGTAGTGACCTCACTGAAGTTCATCATATTGATTGTGGATAGTGCTTGCTGTTGATTAGATATGTTCTTCACTTCTGTCTCCTCTATGTTAACTTGAAATCCTGTCTTAGCTGCTTCATCTGTAAATATTTCGGTTTTCACCTGTAGGTCTTCAGGTTTGTGCGACATTAGATACTAGTCATTCTCGGAGTCCAGATCTTCTAGAGTCCTCCTATCGGTCAAACGTATCCCTTACTTTCCTCTCCTCATGATCTGATGCATTATCCAGTCCACCACAATCAGGAATATGATCGGCGATAGTAGGCATCCTTGTCCTATTTCTGTCTTCACTTCAAGGGCTTCCATGAATTTTCAATTGTGGATCACTTTACATATTGCATCTCCATACACCTGGTGAATGAGATTGCTAATGATTTGAAGTACACTGTAGTGTACGAGAGCTTCGAATTACTTCATGGTCAGCTGAGTCGAAGGCCGTTTCAAAGCCGATGGATTCGACTACCATTCTATGTTCTATTCAGTGATTATTAGTAGAGTTGTAATTTGATCAGCACATGGATTACTTCACTGCAATCTAGCTCGTTCGGGGCGGAGTTTGCATCCAGGTCAGCTGCCGGTCCTTCCAAAACGGCACGAACTGGTGTTTTGCTCGTCATAAATAGAAGCATAATTCTGCTCCGCTTTCTGTAAAAGCCTAAGTCTCATTCTCTTGTATAATAATAATAATAGTATATTCTCATTTTTTACATGATGGACGCCAGTTTACAGGCATCATCAATATGATAAATTACATATACGATTAGTAAACATATTTAATAATAGTAATTTAATAAAATACATTTTTTCCTACCTGTGTAGGACACACCAATTGTACAGGCATGGATAAGTATTATTTAAATTACATAAATTTGGTTCATGGTAAAATTATTAGGTTGCAGTCATTTTGTCTATGGGAACAATATGATAACTAGTCATTAATAATAATAATTTTATATTTTCATATAAATATAAATTTACATGGAAATGCATGCCATTTTTACAGGCACGATCAAGTATGATATAATGTCAAATAGTAGATTGTCTACAGGTCAATAATTTTTGAACAGCTAATTATTTGATATATATATGTAAATATATATAAATACACTCATTGTCTGACCCAACCGGAAGATTATTGAATTGTACAGTAGTCCTCCAGGTTGCGCAGGAAAATCGACTTCATTTCGTTTTCAACCCGTAGTTTTAGGCATACGATAACCAACCAATATTGAGGTAAGTACAACGTTTACAAGGGATAGTAAGCTGTTTTAGAAAAGTAAAGGTGCTAAGGTGAATCATTAAGGTGTAATGAAATAGATAAGCGCAATGTATCATTAATAGATGCATTCATAAAGGAAGTACAATGGGAGACTAATCACTAGGCTGACAAAGTTCATTTGCAATGTATAATGCTACCCTATAGGTTTTACTATCATGTTGTCCACTTTTGGTTTAATACAATTATCCACAAGCCGGTTGTTTTAATTTCATACCTTTTTGTGTTTGGTGCACAACCGTACCCTATAGAGAATAGGAATAAAATAAGTCGAATCAAATTCATAAAGAGGTATAAAATGTTAGGTTTAGTGGAATATGATGAGCAAGTGAAGACGTTATTAGAAAATGTATGAGATGAGACATTGTTAAGTGATATTCGAAGATACGACAAAGGAAAGCATGTCAATTTATAAGATGCCCCATAAATCTGTGCAGAGCCCACGTGGTCGCGTCTCATCAATAGGCTGACCGAATGGTATGTGTTTAAAGGTAGAAGCATGATCTGTCCAAGCGATCATTATTATCTTATTCGAGATAAAGATTCAAGCCCTCATAGAAATCTCGAGCCATCAAATTGCATATTCCTGTTCCTGCAGAATGGGGCGATTCACCTTAGTGTCCACCACCATATCTACTGATCAGCATGCGCCACCCTCCCTCCTTTTGTGATGTTAGGTTCTGATTGTTATGGCCACGGCAAATATATTGCTTGATTCCAGACACGTTCGTACCTCACATTCCATTTGCCTAGCTTTCTTAGTGAGTGCTTCCAATAGATCTCCACATACAGATTTATGAACATATTATATATATCTGCATGCGTCCTAATGAACAGATTAGTTTATAAGATGTTAAACCCTTAAAGAGTAAAAAGAATAGGTTTTGTGAATAGTGGAGCAAGATTTAGCAGAACACTATAGTTAGAGTTCAATGTAGGTAGTATGAACTGAAGGTAAGGTCGGTTGGCAGGACTTATTGTACTAAATTGTCATGACAGTCTTTTATATAGTAAACATTTGACATTGCAAAGTAACCAGTCTACACATATTATAAAACGATATTAACACAGAACCAACAGAATTTTAACATTTGGTTAACAATACCGCAGTGTGTGTATCCTGAAGAAGGGTAGTTAGTCTTACAGGGAGCCGTAAAGTAAATCAAACTATATATGATAAGAGCGTAATCAATATTATAATTCGTAACAGCTTTCATGACAAGTGCTTCCCATTAGGTCACATGGCACAATAATACCAGAGGACATTGTTAGCAGTATTATCATCATACTTGTGAACAAGTGGGTTACTACGAAAGACTAAGAAATTAGGTTTCCCTTAAGAGTTATGAAGTATAAAAATAGCTAATATTAGAGCAACTAAGTTATATTCTATTTAGCAGAGTGATATGAGTAGTGGAACAATTAGTGATAAAATTATGTATAATGATCCTGAAGAAAACAGCCGGCTAACAGAGCTAGTTATGCTAAATTTTCATGACCGATTTTCATACCGTGCGCATTAGATATTGCAAAGTAACCCTTCAACTTATATAATGTTAAAAATACTGCGAAATATTATAAAGATTATACGTTTTAGGAAGGTGTATGAGGAAAGGTGGTTATTGGCTGAGTAAAGTCATTCAGACACAACAAATAGCATTGTATTATTAACTGTATATACATATGTAAAATATTAAAAGATGT